GGAACATAGCGTTCTGGCGTTCGTGTAGGCACCTCACGGTGTTAAGGGACGGTGGTTTAGGTTTGTGTGGCGAACGACAATCACCCAACGACCGACGCTCACAACTTGGATCCCACCATTAACAAAAAGCAATATTATAGTTATATAACTTTTCAGATGTTTTTAATTCAGTATTTTTTTCAATATTCTTCTAAAATTCAACCACTATATTTCCCTAAAAATCAAATAATACCGGTTTTATGTATTTCCGTATTAAACCTGTAGCCAATTCATGTTCCAGGGCCACTTGGTTTAGCCGTGCATTATCAGCCAATATACCATGGATTGCATATGCAAATTTTGTGTTTGGACCAATCAAATCAATGGATTAACACCATCAATATACTGGTATAATATAATTAACAATAACATGTGAAATTCACCGGCACCCCCTCGGTCAAATTAACTGGTGATTCCCTAAATTCGTTCAAATCCTACTAGTTTATGTCCTATAGCCACGTTTTTGATTTTAAATTTGTCAATCGAAAAACATATCGAAATCACATTCCAATCCCGGGAGAAATACATCTAATGTTTACTTTTACTCATGAATATTGACCATTTTCCACTCACTGCGAGAATCACGCGTTATGCGTGAAATCGAACGTAAAAACAGGACAAACAAAAGTCATTGCATTGTAGTGGCGTCAAGCAGCATCGCGTGGGTAAGTACTGAGAAATAATTTTAAACTCATAGTTGCTGTCGACATAGGAAGTAAAGTAAGCAAATAACACCGAATAAACGGCAAGGTAAAGACTATGTCTAATTATAGTAAACACGTACTGCGTGCGTGACTCGAACCGGCGCTCGCGTACGGCACCTAATCGCCTAGCTTCACGCCACTACACGTCTTCCCCTCGGCCACCGGGCATCCCCAAAAAAGGATGCTTAATAACCGAGCTTATTACGTGCAGAGAACATGAAACCCGTCCACGCGATCCGCGCCACACAGCGTGGGATTCGACAAACCCGAAAGTATTTTGAGGGACATTTCCATGCTTAATAATGTGCTGTACACATTTGATGATAGGCAATGTCGATTTAGTGAGGGTATTCGAAAGCTATATTTCTCTATCGAAGATCGGCCGGTCGATATGAGCTACGAAATAAAGAAATTCGAGTTCAAAATCAAATCGTTCGTTTTTTGCGGCAGACGTTCGACGCGCGTCTTTCAGGCAACTCGCGAGATCTCGCATATGAACGGAAAATCACCTATTAATGGAAATCAGACGAAATTGACTAATTATGCGATATTCATTTCCGGAACAGAAAACGTGTTCGTTAGTAAGGTTAAAATCGTGTTATCTTTATATTTTAATGCACTTATTACAAGCATGGAAGGTACTAACGGTTAGTATCTTCCACGTTACAAGCGACCCCAAACTTACAATTTGATGAACGTAGGCTGGATGTTTGGGGCACTTTTCTTCATTCTTTTGACGCATGCCAACTCATCCATATTACAGTAGCACCCTCTTTGACATCGTCTCTGATACGATGACATACGTCGTCTACCCGATGTTATGCTGCATGCAAATACAGCAACAATCATCACCATTAAGGCCAACTTTATCATACGAGACATTTTTTCTGGAATAAAAACAAAAATATGATAATCCCTGTGGAATTTCCATTGACACAAACAATTTGATAGATATGTGTATCCAATTGCCAAGACAACAGCAATTTCGAGAATGATCTGTCATTTAAAATGAAAATAGAACACTCGCCATAGAGATAGGATCATTGTCTGATTCGCGAGTCTATTCAGGACTTTTCAAAAAGAAATTAGAAGTGTATTGTCACGAGAAGACATATTAATACAAAAGTGTGGGGGTATTAGTGAGAATAAGTAATTTGCAGATGGGGTGGTTTGTGCTCTCGGGGTTCCGTCGAGTTATATATGAAATTAATATTTGATATTGACGTTCATCAAAGTTGTTCAAATGTCTTTCTCCAAAACAAATAAAACACATCACTTAATCGAATTTATAATTAAAACAAACTCACCTACTTGGACGTGTTATAACAGAGCAGACCACAAAGGGAGAGGTGTACAAAACGAATGTGACTGTTTGGAGTATATGGAACGCCGACGGTTATGTTTGATTTCGCTAGTTCAAAAATGCGCTCGTGTGCGCGCAGAAGACTTCAGGTGCGAAGAACGATTCGGTAGAACGGTTAGTTGCACGCGTGGATCGGTTCCCTGGGTTGGTTCCAATCTCCTTCCCATAGGTCTTTGCGCTTCACGCAAAAGTAACTCTGCACAAGGGCGATAGGCAAAAGTGCCTGGGTTAATACAATACTAGAGATAATACATGAATATTTTTCTTCTTGGATAAAATAAGTTATTAGTAACATTCTAGAAATGATAAAACAGTACTATGAGCATCACCGTCAGTGGTGACATGTTTTAACTCGAACTCGTAAATGTATTGCGTTTTGCCGTACGTCTAGCGCGTACAAAACGTGGCTGCGCGCTTTTTGAAAACGTTCGAATGTAGGACGCTTTCACCCCCGCTTTTTCATAATAAAAGACGGGGTCGAACTCCGCACAGTTCGATGCGTGTTACTTATCACCACTGCCCAAAGCAATCTCCTTCCCAGAGGCCTTTGCGCTTCACGCAATAGTGCCTCTGCCACAGGCAGCCTTCAATTTTGTGGTCAATCACCTCACTACGCACGGCCATTTTCCTATAGCTGTTACATCTGAAAACGTACTACAAAAAGTGGAAAAAAATGTATGTGACATCCAAACTATTTATTATTGTCAGACTTCAGTAAAAACGTAAATACGAACCATTTTATCACGGACTATGTTTTGCAAGGTAATGTTAATGTAGTGAAATGGCGCACGTGATAAACTAAAACTCGGGAAAACAGCGTTCTGTTTATGTACACAAGATGGCAGGGGGGGGGATTGGCACGAGAGGGCGCCATCCGATCTGAATGGAACGTTTCGACGTCAGTCGTTCGTAGCCCATCGTCAAAGCAACAACGTCCCGTTTACGAACAGATGAAATAATTTCAGCAATTTCTTTTACAGAATAACGTAACTTGCTATGATCATGGTAAAGAGAAAACCTATGCTTACTTTCAACAGTTAGCTGGAGTCTGATCAAAAACGTGTCTCAAAAAATACATTTACATCATTTTTCCGATTATTTTTTCAGCTCGTAACGATAGAATCAGTCAATTTAGAACTAACATGTATGCTATCGGAAAGCATTTTGGCACAATATTACTGAAAAAAACGAGTTTTTCGTTGCTCATGAATATTAATTTATGCAAATGAGACGATTATTTCAACCAATCGTGTCATGCACCCCCCCCCCCCTGAGTTGGACGTTCCCTGGCGACTACCTAGCTTAGTGATAAAAGACCCATAGTCTCGGCGACGGAGAATGTACAATACCCTGTCGGTTAACAAAGTTATGCGTAAGTCACTTGGTTACTTTAATAACTTTAATAAAACGTTTCACGCCCCGACTTCGATTAAAATGTTCAGTTAATTAGATTAAAATATACATGACTTGCGTTAGAAAAGTGCAATTCTTTCCTACATGCCAAAGCATTAGTTTCTACAATAAATGGCTAACTTTATAAACTTACTAGAACCTGTGTGTTCTATGGTTGTCAGGAACCGAACAGTGTTTATGGCCGGGGCTCCTTTCCTTTCCCCAACTATATACGATAACAAAACGTTTTTTCTTCCAAGTTTTAGTGTATCACGTGCGCCATTTCACTACAGTAACATTACCTTGCAAAACACAGTCCGTGATAAAATGGTTGGTATTTACGTTTTTACTGAGGTCTGACATTAATAAATAGTTCGGATGTTACATACGTTTTTTTCCACGTTTCGTAGTACGTTTTCAGATGTAACAGCTACATGAAAATGACCGTGCGTAGAGGGGTGATTGACCACAAAATTGAAGGCTGCCTGTGGCAGAGGTACTATGGGAAGGAGATTGAGACGGGGTATGACACGACTCAAGCTGACCAATAGGTGTTTGCCATATAGAACACGTGACCTGCAATGCTCGTACCATTGTTTACGTGTACCATGATCTTCTCCGCATTATTATGTATGTATGCCTTATAGTTATGAAACAAGGTACACAGCATGTTCAATCATTAAGAAACATAACTCACTAATCTGGGCTCAATATCGAATGTTTGCTGTGAAATGCAGAAACTTTAATAATCGCCGTTGTGCGGCCACTCATGATGCATGGCTGTCACTAGATGCATAGCTGCCGTTCTGTGCATATTTAAAGTTAGTTCGATGACGGGGAAATAATCTTAACGGCAATAAAACAACGACATACCCTCGCAATACTGCATCTACTAATGCGTTGTTAACAACCAACTTCTCAGGTGACTCTGATTTTGAACAATATTTGTACAGCCGGCGTCAGGGTACGATAACTAAAAAAATAGACTTGACCATGAAAAATTTGGTTTATTTCTGTATTCATTAAAAATTTCAAAACCATCACATAAAAATTACGTACTATTTTACGCTAAAATAATGATGATGTGGTTATTTGGGACTCGACCGTCAACTACGAACACCATAAATAATGTTCGCGAACGAAGTCTGGTACGCGGTGTGTCCGAAAATGAAACACACTGTGTCATACCCCGTCTATATTATAGTTTCGCTAAATATTTAATGGCCGAAACCAAGGAAACGAGAAATGTGCACGCGAGCGTGAAGCCGAAATCGTTCCTTTTTGATATTTGCCAAACGACAAAATGACCGGTGGTGGCGCTGTTCAATACTTCTTATGCCGCTAATTGATAACTTACGGCTCAAAGGGTACAATGCGTTTTATATCGAGTGTGGAATTAAATAATATGAGCGAACGAATGGTACAGCCAGAATTGTGTACATATAAGGTACATTTAGACAATGTATTTTATTGTCATTATTCAAATAAATCGTCAACATTTAAAAATTGTCATTAATCCTGGCTTATCTTACACTTTTGCCCACCGCCCTTGGTGCGTGCTGCTGCGGAACACCACTCGAAGAGCTGGTGAAAACAGCACAAACTTAACTATGAGACAATCCTGAATCTTGATATATATATATATTGTCGCATACGACTTATTTACCACTTCCGTGTCACTGAGAATGTTCTAGAACCGTACTGTGTCTGGGTGGAATATTCTAGATTTTGTTTAGAAACTGCTTGAATAGGTAATAGAACACTGTAGGAGGCAATGGAAGGTAATGGAACATTCTAGAAATTTATAGTAAATTCCAGACTCATTATGTATGCTGATGTAATGGTCTATTTATAGACAGTGTGGGTATATATAGGGGAGTTGTTCAGCACTGAGATCAGATCGGAGATCTCGTTGAATTGTATTGGAGTTTAAGTATCTAGTTATTGGAGTAGTGGAGTTTTACCGCGTTATTGTACTTGATGTTTGCAGAGTATAATAATACCAGTACCAGTTGAAACCTCATCTGTTGGCTCCGTGTTCGTATTTTAGCATCGCCGCCAGGGAAGTCTTTCTGTTACTGTTGCCATTTTGGTATTTGAACCATCACACCTGTACTATACCAATTACGGTAATATTACGTTGCGTGTGACATATATATATATATCTTTCACTAAATTGTCTTTATCAAGGGTGCCCTATGTGCTGAGAAGGCGATACCTGTTCTCTAACCAGAACCAACTTCAATACAAATTCGGTTCGAATCGAAACTACTTATTTTTGTCTATTAGAGAGAACTGTTGTTTCCGCTTATGTAAGCCCGGGACTTTTCTTCCCTTAAATTCTGCCTGGCACAGCAGGGCAATATACTTGTTTGTACACCCCTGCATACAGCGGAAACAAGGAGGGGCATATTATCGGGCAAACCCCAGTCACGTCTTTGTGTTTCTGTCTCCGGGGAGCGAGAGTTGTGTGGCAGTTTTTTGTATTATTTCCACTAAGCCCCGCAATCGTTCTGAACATGATTATACTAGGCTTTAAAGATGCGCATGTCAAACTATTTCATTTCACGCCATTTCAAGCTGTATTTTTGGGGTCAGTGGTACGTAACGCGGCGCGGCGTAACGGGAGCGCGTCCTCTTACAGTGATGAGGCGCATTTGCCGTCATAACCTCCCCGTGCACTATTATTCGTAGATCTCACGAGAATAGGCGGCATCTAATCTATATTTGCTGAGTTGTGAGTTGTTACAAGCACCCTATGCTTTCAGCAGTAAGAATGTTTTCGTTAACAAGAAAATATTTTTTTTCATATCTGGAATGAATAAATGAGTATGTAAATAAATCAATTGATCTTAAATTCAGTTGCAAGTATTACATAATTTACAGAGACAGTTATTTATTGGTATTTTGGGAACCTTGAATTTAATGAAAATGTTTCTCTTTTCGCCATTTGAATTTTTTCTAAATAAAGCTTCACCTTGTAGTTTAATTTGAATTTGTTCTGAGTTTATAATTTTAATTAGATATAATAGTTCTTCATTTGTTCAATTATATTCCCTTTGTACACAGTCGCTTGTAACAACAAGAAACACGATTTTTACGCATATACCACACACTTCGCATTGAAGTGTACACCGACCGTTTATAAAAAAAAGGTACACATCATGTTAAATTATTTAAAACCTAATCCACTTATTTGGGCTCAATATCAAAAGTTTGCTGTAAAATCCTGAAACTTTAATAATTGATGTTACTAGATGCGTAACTTCCGTTCTGTAACTTTTAAGTTGGTCTCATCAATCTGTCTTTTACCTCCATGGTCTCATGGCGGATGAAATGATTTTATAAGCAATAAAAAAGACATACAACAGTACTATAGCTAATGATGCATTGTTACTAGATACATAGCTCCCGTCCTATGCCTATTTAATCGTTAGTCCCATGACGGATTTAATGCATTCATGTGCGTATATTTTAGCGCATCATATTTACTGTCTACAATTAATCGTTTTAGCATTAGTCAATAATATGTAAAATGTGTTTGTTCATTGTCAATCTGCTTATTTTGTTTTGTTTTTTTGAGAAAAATGCCCTACAAAACATGCTATTCACTCCATTTTGTA